TACCCATTTAAGCCGTCTCCAGCCATTATTAGTCTCAAAGTGGGTTCCTAGTCATCGAATTTAAATTCCATGTAACTTTATTTTATGTAGACTATATGCCTTGCATAAAGTACACAAGTTTGGGAACAATTTTAGACTTATTGTATCTAATATTAAGAGTTTAGCTTAGAATGTAGCAAACTTTCTATCTAAAAGATTCTCATTTTTAAGGGATAAAAATAATACAAAGTTAAGAATTCGTTTGAATTTGTGGAAAGAATTGAGCAAATAATTTTAGATCAGAAAGATATTTTGGTGTATTTTGATGTGTCAGTGTTCATCAAAGTAAATGAAAAAAGTATATTGCTTGTCTTGAGAAAAAAATTGAAAGAAAATAATAATTCAGTCTTAGAAATAATGGATATGATTAACTTTTTTTTCTTCAAATTAACAGTGAAATTTATAAACAGAACAAAGATTTAGCTATGGGTTCTCCTATATCTCCATTATTATGTGATTTATTTATGGATAGTTTTGAAACTGAAGTATTAGAAAAAACAGATAAAGACCTTAAGCTGGTTAAGGTATGTTTATGACACATTTTTGATATGGTGGCATGGTAGAGAGGAATTGACTCTTTTTTGCTAATTAACTTAATAGCACTGAAAATTCTATCAGATTTACTTATGAAACTGTTTACATTTTTTGGATATTTTAGTATAAAAATAAGAATTAATTGGAAACTACTATATATCGAAAACCTTTCTCTGTAATCGTTCCACAACATCAAAAACCTTGTCACACTAAATCTCAGAAAACTACTGTTTTTTTTTTTTTTACTCTTATGTGGATGGGATACTAAAATTATGTTGTAAACAGGATGACTTTAATAATGAATTATTATTAATTAAGTACATAGCAGTAGAAAGAGGTTTTAATCCTGATACTGATGATGGAGCTGAAAAAACTAAAAAACAGGGATAAAAATATTACGTTAAAATCACTTGCTGAAAAAAAAGTAAATAAGAATGTTTGGTACTGTTATTTATACCTGGCTTATCTTGGCAAATAATGTAACACTTTAGAAAACAAATAAATATTTTTCCAATATCTAAACCAATAAACAAAGTTAGCCAAATTCTTAATAAAACTAAAGATAAAATATATTTTTATTTAATTAACTTCATCACCACAGGTATCCTTTACTGCAAGACACAAGGTTTTAGTGTCTTACATTCAAAATTTTATTAAACTGCTTTTTGTTTTATGTTATACAAATTAGAATAGCATAAAATCTTATCTAATAATTCATATTTTAGTAATATACAAGTTTTAAGTTCTTAATTCTACAAAGAAATATTTAAAAAACCCTGAATTTCCACTACTGTGACCCACGTGACATTTTTTCTTAGCATGTCATCATCCCTTTTTTATCCACCACCCCTTGAAAAAGTATGAAATTAAATGTAAACTACATACTATAAAAGAGTTATTGCTCAGACAAACCATGATAGTTCTCTCTTACATTTCATTATGTATTATCTATAACCAATAGAAAGTCAAGGTTTTCATCTATCAAATGACATATTTTATAACATTATGTTCTGAACAGTTAGATGTCAATTTCACTTAGAGTACCAACATCATTCCTGTGGGAAAGTTAACAACTTCCTTGGATGAACTTGTAACAGCTCTTGTCCCATGGTTAGAAAGCCAGAAAAATTTTAAGACGTAAGGGAATTTGTCTACTTTTTCCATGTTATTAGTCTATATTCTTTCGTGCATTATTTAATTAAATAAAAATTATTATATGCATTACTATCATTAGTATAAAAAAATTACGGTTAACTCTTTTCGAAATCTGATGGCAATAAAAAAAGAAAATTAGTTAAGTATTTTATTTCTTGTTTCTGATGTTTATTTTTTATGTCTAATTATAAAAGTAACTAAAATGTAAAATAGGGATCCTTTTATGTTTGTTAAGATTAGATTAGGTAAAATAAATAATAATAACATTATAATAAAAATGTTTCATGAGGCACACACGCGAGAAGCTTGTTGGTAATGTAATTCATTAGCATAACATGAGATGCACGTTCCTCGAGTGATTTACAACTTTAATGGCACAAACAGTAGTTAGACACAGTTCAAAGGGCAATAAAACAATAAAATTTAATTATAAGTGGATGTATACTGTTAGGAACTTAGAGCTACTTAAGATAAACAAATGTAGTTTCAGGTTACAATTTGAAGTCACTCTGGAAAGAAAAAAAAGGGTCATTTAGGTTTATTTAATTTTTTTTTTTTGGTGGTTATGAGCTCAGACCAATTTACCAAACCCATTTTGAGATAGGGTAGAGAAAACATTTGAAATACATTTAGGAGGTTTCGGGATTACAAAAAGGAAATTTGAGATTTTTGAGATGAGGAAAAGTATTTTTAATTTTAACATGAAAATTACTTTGCACACAGACTATTCAAAACAAATATTCAATATATTAATGAACAAATCTTTATTTTATTTTATTAAAAATATTTCACTATAAAATTTTTTTGTGTGTGTGAAAGACTTACAATATTAACTGAAAGACTGTGAAATTTTGTGAAGATATACACACTATATTGAAAGTTAGAAGTATTAAATCTATAAAGACTTTAAATGAGTAAAAAGAGGTCACGTGGTCAGTCAAATTGAGAGGGTTACTGGAAAAATTTGGTATATATAAATATCAAGTGAATGTGAAAAAGTTTATATAGGATAAACTAAAAGAAATTTAAAATTCACAATGAATGAACACAAAAGAAATGTTAAAAAATATAATAATACTATTTCACATTTAGCAGAACATATTAATGAAACTAAACACATAATTCAATGGGAAGAAACTATTATTTTAGCACAACCTGAAAATTTTATTAGAATGAATATACGTGAATCTATTGAGATAATTAAATATAAAAAAAGTAAATTTTCAATACTGAATAAGAATGATGGACCTAATGGAAATGTTGTCAGCAGATGCTATGAAATTCTTTAATATGTAAATTAGTGATTTTGTAATGGTATAAATAAGTGTTATTTTTTGCAAAAAAATTACATTTTGAGGATGACACAGTAAAATATGTCAAAACATGTAGAGTGTATGAGACTGTTTTCCAGTCTCACCTTTTTTATTTAATTATTTGTTATTACATTTTACAGTAAGTTACTTGCATTGTATTGTAGTTTTGAGACTGGAACCAGTCTCATTTTTAGAATTGTGTAAAAAGTAATTCCTTTTTTATAAAATGCAAGTTATTTATACCATTGAACATTACACAGGCAACAATGAATTTTAATCATGCTATCTTGTTTATAAATACTATGAATTTCCTCCTAGGGGGTTAGGATAATTGTATTACACCCAGAAAAATTCAAGAAACGCACAACCACTAATATGTTTGTTGGGAGCATGCTGAAATCAATCCAAAATCAAATTTTGCAGTTTGTTTTATCTACTTATGAATAAAATTGATTAAAGAAATCTTTATCAAATAAATCTAACTCAGAAATTCTTTATTCTTTTATGTGTGGAACAGACTACACATTTCTATTCTATAGTTTTTTTAATTCAGTGATGCAATTTTGCCCCCAAAATCAAATTGCACCCATCCAGACATTAAAGAATTAGTCTTAATGAAATGAAACTTATGCCCTTTCAAAATGAGAAAAAAAATAACTATGTCAAGACATTAATTACCTGAACCATTTCTTCATGAGAATATGGAAGAGTGCGGATGATCAACAACCTGTCCAAGAGGTCAAGGGGAACTCCATGTGGAGAAATGACATCTTCAGTCCCTCTTTAGTACCATGTTTAAAGGAAATAAAATAATCCTTCAACAGTTTCAATCATTTATGAATATAATAAATATGTAAACAGTTCTTCATAAGCCTCTGTTATTGCAGTAAGCAACTAAAAAAACCTTTCATAACATTCCATTAAATTCATTTGTTTCTGCTACACCAAGTTACTAGATTATATTCACAAGTGAAACAATATTTCATCTGATGAAATTTAGTTGAATGGGTGGCAACCGCCTGTTGTAGAAACACAAGTATAGAGAACAACATTTTGATAATCTTCTGCCTTTCGTCTTCAGCTCGGGAAACTTTTGAAACACCGCCTTTTATACAACAGGCAGTTGCTGTCCATTCAACTAAATTTCATCATGAAGATTCTTCCTAAACAATCTATCAAAGAATCTTTCATCTGTTTCTGCTATATTAAGTTAGGTAGTTATCTTCACAAATTAAGCAATCGTTTTGTTATACAACAGGCAGTTGCTGTCCATTCAACTAAATTTCATCATGAAGATTCTTCCTAAACAATCTATCAAAGAATCTTTCATCTGTTTCTGCTATATTAAGTTAGGTAGTTATCTTCACAAATTAAGCAATCGTTTTGTTATGCTGTGCTATTTGTTCAAAACATTTATAATGTATATAGGAACAAGTGTTTTGTTCAGTGTATTCAACAGGGTCAATATTTCTTCCCATATTTTGAATCAAAAGAATATATTCAGATATCTAGTGATGGCCCCAAAATTAAACACTATTCACAATGAATGAAATTTTCATTATCATTAAACAAACATTTTCCAGTAGTAGCATCATATATATATATATATATATATATATGTATGTGTGTGTGTAAATACATATACACACACATGCAACAATGTAAAAGGGGTCTTGTTTTTGAATAACTTGCATCAGGAAGGAAATGACAAATCTACATAAGTGCTTGAGTAGTGACTTTACCTCACTGTGCAGCGCCCTCTATTGGTAGCAAATATGACTATTGGAGCAATGGTGGATTCCAATGCACGATGGAGATAAGTGAAACATTCAATATCTAACATGTGAACTTCATCCACAAACAGGACTCCAGGAACAAGTTCTGCTATTCCCTGTTCAATATACTTGTTAACAACCTTGTTAATTTCTTTTCTTAGTTTATCTGCAGGAATAAAAAAGGGAATGAACAAACTTGTTCTAAACATTATTCATAACATTTTCTTGAAAAGCAACTCCAACTTATATGAAACTAAAAAATAAGCCATAACATGTAAGATACTGTTTTTAATTTTACTAACTAAAATCATACCTATGTCCAAAGTAATACTATTACTGTAACTATGTTCATCTGTCAGGAGAGACTACCCAAAATAGCTGAAACTATAAAATGACAAGAAGTTATCTTACCTGTTATTTCTGTTTTACGAGGTTTCATAAGCTGCCCCATCATAGAAAGAATATCCTGTCCACCCTGAGGCCGAGCATTGGCTACATCTAGGTCATGAAGAGTGACATCTTGTACAACTTCTTTTTTCTTATGAACATCTCCTTTAGGTAGTGGAACGTACTCTTCAGCCTGTGTGAGTGGAGAACAAAAACAATACATTCATTTCTGATGACCATTCATATTATTCTTATCAAGTAACATACTGAAGTGACCCGTGCAGGTTATTTTTTTTAACATTATTACTCGTGCAGAACTGCCAAACAACAACTTACCTCGAGATCAAACTCTGTAGCATACACATCACTCCTTCCTTGTCTCTGAAACAAAGAAAACATTAATGTTACTTGTACATTAAACTGATCACTCTTAAATCACATCTAAGCAAAGGACTGTATTGTTCTTAAGTCATGTTTATGTAAAAGCAGGTAAAACCCATATTTGAACTTTAACATCTTATACCAACTCACCTATAACTATCTGATCAAGAGCTTGGTGTACTTTTCTAAGCTATTGCTTGTAAATGTATAGATTAAATGTCTATAACAAGCATTTGTGTTTTCAATATGATGAAGCTAAAGCATAACATAAAACACATCTGCTTACACTGGACAAATGAATTAATACCATTATGCAATATCAATCATCTTTCTTCAGCCCAACATCTATATAACTATGTTCAAAAGATTTAAGCAATTTCTTTTTTAACACTTTGAATACCAATGGGTCAAAGTGCTCATGTCAAGACCTTTTTATTAAATTACATTCAAAATTGAGTTACTTCATAAGCAATGTACGTCAATAAACTTGGCATTAAAATGTAGCTCATAATTCCAATTTTAATATTATCCAAGTTTTAGTTTCTTAGTTTTGAAAGGAAATACCTAAATAAATTCTTCAATTCCCTGTGTCATGTAATTTTCTGTGGTCTAAATTCTTCTTTACATATTTTCGTTCTTCCCTTATAGGAGTTCCAGAATGTCTACCAACTACCATATTTTTCGGTGTATAAGACACACTTTTTTACCCCAAAATTTGATGACAAAATCTGCGTCCTATACACCAAAGGTATGAATAATATATATATGTATATATACGATATACACAAGCCATGTGTAAATATATTTAAATA